ATATATATATGGGGATTCTTTTTTGTTTCAACCAATATATTTTGCAGAACATAAGAACTAATATAAAATATAAATATATTTTTACACATTATTGCTTTTTAATCTTGACTCTTTGTGTTTTAATCTCAACTGTAACCTATCACCATCCCCAGAATGCATTGCGTCAGTAACAAAATGGTGATGTGATCAAGTGAAAAATGTTATAAACATAATTTCTTTAAAGACATTCTGTAATGCATCACAAACAACAACTTTTAATAAAATGGAGAAATAATAACATATTAAGGCAAATATGTGCAAACAGTCTGAGATCCCTTTAAGGTGTTGGCCTGATCCTATCTTAGTTGGATGCTTTTAAAATAAAATAAAAAAATCAACTCAAAATCGTGTTCAGTCTTCATTTTCTGCTGTGGCCCAGTGAGCCGGGTCATAGCACAGAACTTGTGTTCCAGACATAATAAGCAGCAGCACAGAACGAGCCGGTCCATATTTGGGAATATTATGAGAAGATTGGTAATAAAACGACCACAAGGACTGAGCAGTCCTTTCTCTTGGGACATCTCTACATCTTTGCAGCCCTCCTCTTCTCTCCTCTCGCCCCTCCCTGCTCCCTGTAAAAGGGAGCAAACTGCCTCCGTCCTGCCTCCAGCTCCTCCTGTCCCATCTGTGAAGCTGCTGCACAAAGTGCACCTCCCTCTCCTGCTCTCCACGTTGCTCTCCTGCTGCTCCTCGCTGTGAGACTCCCAGAGCTCTGCGTTGTCTGCAGCAGTTCAGAGGAACATGATCACAGGACCAGCTGGATAAAGTTATTTCCATGGAAAGAAAAGCTCCAAGTGCAGGTATGTTCAATTTTTTTTCTAATGTCAAATCTGTGCAGACCTTCAAAATTTGTGATTTTAACTTGTTGCCTCTTTTTTTTTTTTTTTTTTTTTTTTGGAGTTTCAAGTATATTTCCTGGTGATGTTTCTGTAGTTAAACCTCTGGATAAGATGCCTCGCGTCTTCTCTCATTCCATCACAACCCACTTGCTGTGTCAACACTTTGTTCTATAAAGAGCGCAATTAAATTAGCCTCAATCACAATTCCACAGTTGATTAAAAAAACAGAATGCAGTTATTTGCAAACCTTATTAATCCATATTCTTAATGGAACAAAAAAAAAAAGAGAGAATTTTGAATATGATGGCAGCAGCAGAGCTCCAAAAAAGCTGAGACATTGGCCGTTTCCCCTTCTTCTTTTAACAAAAGTCTGTAAACATCCAGGACACGAGGAGTCCAGATTCTGGGGTTTGTGGAGGGGAATATTGTCTCATTCTTGCCTCATGTCCAATTCCAGCTCTTCTAGCAGTTCTTGGTCTTCTTTGGTGAAGTTTTTGCTCAATAGGAGCATATGTTGTTTTAAAACCTGTATGTACGGTTCTGCCCTGATGGCGCCTTTTTAGATGAGTAGGCTACCCATGCCAGAGGCACTAATGTACCCCCATACCATCAGAGAGGCAAACATTTGAGCTGTGTGCTTATAACAGGCTGGATGGTGTTTCTACTCTTTAAGTACTGAGTACTGGTTGTTGGAGGTTTGCTTCAGACAACTTTAAATGAGCTTTGGTCCAGAGAAGACATTAGTTACTTGATGGTGTTCACTTATGGCTTCTACTTTGCATGATAGAGCTTTAACCAGCATTACGGAAGGCACAGTGAACTGTATTTACAGACAGTTTTGTCTACATTTTTGGAATCTTTGATGATACAGTATTATGATGGGATAGTTCAAAGTTCTACCAATTTTCTCTTGAAACCTTTTTACTAAAAGATAAAATTATTTAGTTTCAAAATACACCTCTGACTGTTTTTTACTTTTACAGCCTTTTGTTAAGATGTGTTGCTGCAATAAAACTCCAAATTACAGATTTTATTTTGTCCAAAAACATAAGAAATTATTTGTTCCAAGGCGGGTTCATATGTTTTTTTTTTACGCTGACACGCGTGTAAAATTAAACTAACATGGTGTTTCTGCATCAGGACCATGGGATATGGCCAAATCCTCCACCACCACGGGAGAGAGGAGGACCGGGTCAACCTCAACGTGGGAGGGGTGCGGCACAAAGTGGATCCGAGCACGCTGCTCCGTTTCCCCCAGACCCGCCTGGCCCGCTTGCTGCTCTGCCAGAGCGAGGCGGCGATCCTGGAGCTGTGCGACGACTACAGCCCGGCTGAGAAGGAGTACTACTTTGACAGGAACCCCCGGGTCTTCCTCTGTGTGCTCAACTTCTACAACACGGGACGCATTCACATGATGGAGGAGCTCTGCATCTTCTCCTTCAGCCAGGAGATCGAGTACTGGGGCGTCCACGAGCTGCACCTCAGCTCCTGCTGCCACAACTTCTACCACGAGAGGAAGGAGTACATCGAGGACCGGGACTGGGACTTGAGGAGTGACGACAACCACGAGCCGAGCTTCGACTCCTCCTTCGAGGAGCTCTCCGCTCTGGATAAAGACCTCGCCAAGTTCAAAGGCGCGTGGTGTTCAGAAGTGCGGAGCTACATCTGGCTCAGGCTGGAGGATCCGGGCCACTCCAGAGCCTCCAAGATCATTGCGGTGGCTTCCCTCAGCGTCGTGTTGACCTCCATTGTCGCCATGTGCGTCCACAGCATGCCCGAGTTCCAGCGTGTGGACGACAACGAGAAGCCCATCGAGGACCCCGTCCTCTCTGTTCTGGAGCAGATATGCATCGCCTGCTTCTCCGCAGAGTTCATCGTCAGGCTGATTGTCGCGCCCTCCAGGAAGAAGTTCCTCGGCAACCCCTTGAACATCATCGACGTCGCTTCCATCGTGCCGTTCTACGCCACGCTGGCCCTGGAGACGAGCGACGAGGAGGGCGCGGAGGAGAACGAGGACTTGGAGAACGTCGGGAGGGTGGTGCAGGTGCTGCGCCTCATGAGGGTTCTCAGGATCCTCAAGCTGGCTCGTCACTCCATTGGACTGCGAGCGCTGGGTGCCACTGTCCGTCACAGCTACCAGGAGGTGGGTCTGCTCATTCTCTTCCTCTCGGTGGGAATCTCCGTCTTTTCCGCACTCATCTACTTCGCCGAGAAAGAAGAGAAACACACCGATCTGGGAACCATCCCTTCGGGCTGGTGGTGGGCCATGATCACCATGACCACAGTTGGTTACGGCGACACGTGTCCCGTGACGCTGGCGGGGAAGTTAGTGGCAACCTTGTGCATCATCTGCGGCTTGCTGGTGGTGGCTCTGCCCATCACCGTCATCTTCAATAAGTTCTCCAAGTACTATCAGAGGAACAAAGCCATGGAGGGCCGGGGCATCACCAAGCCTGAGAGACAAGACCCCGAGCTGCCCTATTACAACATCAAAGAGCTGTTCACAGGAAGTGTGTACCCCTTCATAGGAAGCATCGCCTTCAGGAACAGCGAGAGCAGCGGCGGGGACGACACGGACGCCTCCAGCCTCCAGGACATCGAAGCGTACGATAACATTTGTGAAAATGGGCCGACAAAATGAGATTCCTGCCATATCACTCTCTTTATGACGGGAAGACTCTATGTGGCTCAGAGGGCTGAGCGTCCCTTTACCTTCCCGCTCTGCCTTCCTCCTGCAACTTGACAGAGAAATATGTTGGACGTTTTTTCTCTCTTTTTTTGTTGGCTTGTGAAAAATACAATGTCACTAAAACCAGGAAATCTAAAGGGAATTATCCGAGCCAGGCTCTGAGGTCTGAAAGCCCATTTTCTGCTTGAGAAAACTGCAACGATGCATGTAGGAGGCCGTAATGTTAATGTTTTTCAAAGTAATGTCCTTTATTGATTTGTCTGCTCGCTGCAAGTTCAAACTGAGAGTTCGCTCGATGCAAGAGGCTAGAATGACAACGACGGCTAAAAATCAGAACGTGGGTCTGAGGCAGCCTGCATGACTAAAAACAAATCCACTTTTGAGAACGAGTAATGAAAATAGTTATGTTATAGTTCTGTCGTTGATGCTGATGAATAGTTTGCTCCTGTTTGTTTGATCACTGTGAAAAAGTCCAGGTTGTTTCAGTTTGTGAAGCTGTTTCAACGTGTTGAGGAGAAACTCCTCTGAATGTGAAATAAATCTCAGAAGAAAGCTGTTTCTTCTGTGTGGCCAAAAGCTGAGTTACTTCTTTCAGTTAAACGTGAAACTGAGTTGTTAAAACAAAAAAAGCAAAATGCAAGATATAGTTGAGGCAGCAAAACGCTCCAAAAAGTTGGTTAAAGGTAGCAAACAGCAAAAGAAATGTCAAAAGTAGTGAAATGCTGGCTAAAATAAGCCAAACACTAGCTAAAAGAAAAAAAAACCCAAAAGAGACAAAATTCTTGTCAAAGACAAAGGTAGTAAACTAAAGCTAAAGGGTAGTTTAAAGCCAAATGTAGCAAAAAGACAGCTATTTGCTAAAATAAATAAAGCACAACAAAAAGCTAGTTAAAAGTATAAAAACAGTACATATATGCTAGCTTAAAGCTAGCTAAACTGAACAAAACACTAACTAAAAGATAAAAGAAGAAAAACTATAAGTTACAAGAAGCAAAATAACGCAAAATATGTAAATAAATTAGGCTGCAAACAAAAAAACAACAAAAAAAGCTTTCACACATGTAACCTTTTATTCCAACAAAACACACTAAAATGTGTGAAACATTCCTCACTTGTTCACCTCTTTCTGTTCTTCAGGTATCGATCTTTTGTCTCCGGCTGTAATTTCTGCTCAGATGAGCCGCTGCTCCACAAAAACAGGTTGTCTTCTCTCAGCCGGGCTCTCCAGCCTGGACCATCATCTCTAACATTAGGGACCTGAACCTGAACAAAACCCGTTAAATCCTCATGGATCATCGTGGACTGTCCTTCATCCTGGTTCGTGTTCAGACCACATGAATTTTTACCAGAACAGATAAACCCAATTACTCCTGTAGGTTTTTCATTACCTTTAGTAAATGAGTTTCGATCCTTGGTGTTCGTGTGTCAGGTGTGCATCACTTAGTGGATTAGCATATTGCTTAATCCACATTTTGTGTTTCAGTGCTCTCATCACTTGGCATCTGTTATAAAGACAAACAGAATTTGTCCTGACATCTATTGATTATCAGTAAATTAACATGTGGCAGCAGATTTACAGACGCATGCAGTTTTATCAAAGTTGACGTCTATAACTTGTGGAGAGAAAAGTTCTGAAGAAAACTGTCTTCATCAGGCTTTCTGAAAGCAATAATTTATTTTTTTTTTAATTTGGCTGCTTTTTCTGGGCTCATTTTCTGTCCAGTGTACCGGACCATGTAGGCATTTTGATTTAAAATGAGAGGTAGTCTAACCTAAAATAAAACGTGTTCAAAAGTCAAGTTTTCAGCTCTTTGCTCTGAGGAAATCACTCTGTTGGTGCTGAAATCCAGGTTTATGTTTGTCACACTGTTTTATTTTTTGTCTGCTTTTATTCCTTTAAGATTTATTATCTTTCTCTTTGAATTTTTTTGTCTGTTTGTGTCCTAAACAGAAATTAAAGGTCCAACGTTCCTTAAAAAAGTCAAAAACATTTTTATATTTGAAAAAGGTAGCATAAAAACATAATTTTACCCATTTTATCACATAACTGGCAGATTTTCTTTCTAACTCGGATCAGCTTAAGTAAAACAGGAAGTGACATCAAAGGGGAACTATTTAGAAAATAAACTCCCAGGTCTGTGTTTATTGAAACATATTATTTGAACTCTGACTCTTCTTTGTCTCTCTCTAAAAAAACATCAGAATATTTTTTTATAGTTTGTGTTTTCCCCTGTTGTTTCAATGCTTTCTTGACATCCAGATGTTCCCCTTTGACACCACTTCCTGTTTCTTGAAATGCAAATATCTCAACAACTGTTCATCTCAGAGGCATGATTTTTTTTTTGCAATATGTTATCAATGTTATCTTTCCAAAAACGCATTCATATTTAATACAAAAAAATATGTCACTGGCACTTTAAAGGCACTCATCACCTGCCATCTTTTACAACAGAGTGAAACTAAGAGAATTTTGTGAAAGTTTTAACACAATCACACTGTTGGCTCTCCACACATTTATTAAAGTTGACTGCCAGGTGCTACCACACCAAACTTTAAGTCAGTATCTGTTAAACTGACTGAGCTGAAGATATTTTTGTGTTTGTTAAATTCACCGATGGTGCCTTTCTAAGAGCTTCATTAAAAATCTGTCCACTAAGAGATGTCAAACAGACATGTTATCTTTACTGCAGCAGGTGACAATAAAGCATTTAATAGTATTTTTGCACACGTCTGTAGAACTTAAAGTCCTGTTCTTTGTACATTCATCATTTCTCGCAGTGACCTTTTATTTCTGTGAGGCGTTCAGGGACAAACGGTACAACGGAGCCTGCAGCTTTGTGGAGTAACTTACAAATTTCACCTGAGAGGAAATGTCAAAACGTCAACAACTAAAAATATTCAAACATTTCTCGTACTGAGGGGACACAGATTCGTTTTTCCAGTTTTGCCGCCAAATCAACTGACCTTAAACGTGAGAAAAATGGCTACAACTCAGTCAATTTTACAGATATTGAGCTAAAATTTGCTGCGTTTAGTAACACTGCAAACTTTAGCATTAACGGTTAGAGTCCACCCTGTCTGTTAGCAAAATGTATCTCACGAACCACCAGTTAATCTACGATTGATTGACCATTTAGAGCCAATCTAATTCAAGATGGCCGCCACAGTCTGCTGACATGAGGAAACACCAAACTCTCTGAAACGTTGCGAATGTTTTCAGATGCTGAGATTAAATTTGGTGTGCTGTCTCATGTGATAACCTTTTAAAAACAGCCACGTCGCTCCTCAACACAGCTCAGTCTGAAAGGCTGACATGAAAGGTGGCGGGTGATATGCATTCATGACATGCCCGGCCTTATCGATCTGTTTTTACTTTCCACAGATGAAAGTGATCCCAGGGTTTCTGGCAGGAATCCAATCGTTCTGTGACACCTTATCTCCCGGAGCTTTAATGCTCCATCCAGTCCACTCGCATTCAGAATTCCTCCCCTCTATAAAGTGGAAAAAACTGTTTGTTTTTCAGCCACAAAGTGCTTTAATTTTATAGGAGATGGAATAAAAACTAAAGCCTAAAGGCAAAGTTTGAAACACTTGAGCTCAGTCATGCACTGGTGGCCTTTCTCTCCACACAGTTTGACCTTTACAGGTAATTGCTATTTGTTCAAATTAGTTTTAGGAGCGACAACCCACCCGCCCTCGACATGTTGTCCCACATAAAAGCAGCGCAGCAGGAAGAGGGCTGGTTCAGGTCACATGTACCTGCTGGGGAGGCTGGGACATTAACCTGGATGAGCTATGTGGTCCGGAACAGATCGATGAGCTCAGACTGCAGGACTGGAGCAGAACTCTGAGGCTTTTCTCCTCAAATCTGTTGTGTAACTTATAAAAAAACAACACTTTTTTTAATACTGTCACCAATCCAGAGACAATGCTTTGCTTTCTTTCATCTTATTAAGTTTGTTCAGAAGAAGCTGAAGTTTGAACATGTAATAAAATTAATCATCTTAGGCAGAAGTTGGTCCAAGCTAGGGGTCAGTCTCATTCTTTACTGAAAATATCTTGTATAACAAACACAAAATACAAATTGTATTTCATTCAACATTTATAGGGTGTACAGTACAACTAGGCTGCAGCAAAGCTAGCTGACAAAAAAACTTCTAAATGTAGATTTTACACGGCTGGCTGCAGGCTAATTTTGAACCCTGTGCAGCTTCACCTGGTGGTGGGAGTAGTTTATGGTCAATGCTGGCTTTGAAGCATCATGCGCTTGTTTTAAAGACGTTGCATCTTTGATGTTCTCGGGAGCCACATGAAATGCTGTGGAGGGCCACATTTGGCCCGCAGGCCTTGAGTTTGACACCTGTGATCTAAAGCTAAAATCACCTTCACCTCGCCTCGAACGCTGCAGCATGACCGAAGCTTTTTAATAACCCTTTTTGGTCTCAGCTGCTGTCTGTTTTTGATGTTTCAGCGTCTCACACTGTGTGTCTGGATGTCTCTGAGGAGTCTGAACTCCTCAGGACTCAGTGTGACCGCTGCTATTTACTGCAGCTCTGCTAACAAACTCAGCTCCTTTTTGTTTGGATGAGCCAAATAAGGAATACTTACTGAAATGTGAATGTTGATACAAAGCTTTAAAACATCCCAAAATGGAAGAATTGACTGAAACAAATAGGGCCTTTGAAGCGAGGGACTGTAGAGAAGTTATCGTTTGCTGTGTTGCTTTTTGAACTATCGAAATTTGTAAACGAATGTTTATTTCTGACAGATTGAAGAGCTAAAGGAAAACTAGCTGTTAGCTCATCTATCGGAGCAGTAGGTCATTTAAAGACCTGCCTACAGGTAAGGAATAAACTCTTCATGCTCAGAAGTTCACTTCAGATGATTTCAACATATTTATTTGCAGATCAAACTCGTTTTCAGTTCAGTTACTTCAACTTGATTGAAAAAGTGCTGAGTGTACAATAAAGGAGAGGTTGAAAAAGACGTCGGCACCTTTGCTGCTGCTGAACTAACGTCCCCACGATCCACGGAGAGTTGAAAAAAGAGAACGAGGATTTAATGGAGGCAGTAAAGGGCAAAGAGGGCTCAGAGTCCAGCTAATGAATCAGAGGAGGAGCAGGAGGGTTAATGATGCTGAGCAGAACAGGGTGAAAATAAAAACTGCAGGTTCTGCAGAGCACCGCTCTATAATCACATCTTTAAAACGACTGCACAAAATTTGCTCTCTGTTTGTTTTCAGAATCTTGTGCTGCATCATGTCTGACTGAGCCTGATGCTGCTGCACAGAAAGACCTGCAGCTGTGAAACAGCTGGATCGTAACAACCAGCTATAAAACAGATTCAATGATCTTTGCAGAAATTTCTCTCCAGACTGATGGAAACATCTCAGACTGCTGCTGTCCCAGAGTTTGTCGTTTTGTGATAAATGTTGATTTATGAAGAAACAACAAGCTGTGATAATATGGTGACAGCCTGCAGATGAAATGATGACAAACTATCAGACATCCATCTGTTTTCATCATTTTAAAAAGTTTCCTGGAGAAGTTTAGGAGCAGTTTGGATCCATCGGCCCTCTTTTTCTCTCAATGATGAAATGATGATTGTTTCCATCAATGATGAAATGGAGATTTTAGCAAGTGTTTTGCTCTGTTTGGGTAGCACATTGCTCCTTTTTGGTTTCATATTTTTAGTCTTTTATTTTTAGCTTTTAGCATTTGTTACTTTAAGCTCAAAGCTTGCATTTAGGCCACATTTTTGATACTTTTAGCTTTGAATTTGCTAGTTTTAGTTTCTATTAGAGTTTTGCTACTTATCAGTCTTTGCTTTATATTTAACTATTAGAGAATCGTTACTTTTAGCTTATATTTAGCATTTATCTGTCATATCTTTTAGCCCCTTCTAGCTGCTTTTATTTAGTTCAATGACTCCATTTTAGCTTTTTTAGCTAATTACAGAGACTTGCTGTTTTTAAAACTTTGACATAAAAGGCAGCTTTTTAATGCAGTTTGGCTCATATGTTTAAAATTTTCTGCTTTTGACAGAAATTTAAGATTTTCTTTTAAAATGAGACCAGCAACATTTCATTGAAGTGTCTTTTTTTTTTGTTCCGACTCATGTTCCAGTCCGATGAGCCATAAAATTATTTTGCACGACGACAAGGTGATGAATTAAACAAAACTTCTCGCTTACATCCAGCCAACATCTTTGTGATTAATTAAATCCTGGTATTTTATCACATTTCATTGACTTTATGTAAAAGCACAAAATGACAAACGAGGCACCTCTGTTTTTACAGGAAAATATTGAAGTACATTAAAGCCAAAGTCTCTCAGCAACTTCCTGAAAATCCGAGCAAATGGAACGATTGTCTGAAACAGCAATTTGTGAATCCATTAGGAGGCAATAATGTGTTTATATTGTTCCCAGGCTCCAGAGAGACTGACTGATAAAACTGGGGCTGAAGAACCGATCCCCCCCCCCCCCCCCCCCCCCCCCCCCCCTCTGCAGTTTAATGTGTCAAGGCAGAAATGAAGTCTGGTTCTAAACAAAGTTGTGAATCAAGCCAAATTAGTTCAAACAACAAAGTGGACCAGGATAAAATGATTTTATGTTAAGCCGTTTCCACTCAAGTCTCTCAAATTTTTAAACCAGTTCTTAAAGCATGGCATAAAGAGTTCTCCAGGTTGATAAGTTTGATTGCAGAATTGCTTTAGAATTTTGAACTAACCAAATTTTAGGGGTTATTCAATTTGAGTGAAGTAACCATTTCCATCCAACCGTCAATAGCCAGTTATGACAGTGTAGATTTGAACATGTCAAGACTGTACAGTGAGGACAATTGTTCTAAAAGTGTTGCTGGAAAAGTTACCAAAAATTTTTGTTTTGTTTATGCAACAATGAGGATTTGCAGTGCAGTCATGACAACCAAAACCATTTCAGTAAAGTTCAGTGAGCCACCACTGAAGTGCAAGTTGCAATTCAAGCCATGTTTACCTTTTAACTTGACAATTTAAAGTGCACACATTTTGAACCAAGACCAGCATTCAAAAACTTAAGCAGAGACAGAAATATTTTAAGAAGTTTTGTTTATTGGAAGCGACTATTCAACATAATTGGTCCAGAGGAAATCTGCTTTTTCTGGTTAGGGGGAGTTTGTGCTGCAAAGGAAGACAAGTCATGTTTAGTTTGATCATTGTAATGTTTTGGTTTTTTAGCTTTCAGATACTTACCCCTTTTCCTTCCTTGTGTAGCAGAAGATTTAATTCCAGCAGAGGGTTTAGCAGCACACTGGCCTCGGCAGATGTTTTCACCAGGGACGGTTTTGTCACAGATCACCACGTTGCAGTGGACATAAATCTAAACACAGTGAGAACTTGTTAGAGCTACATTCAGGTTTGGGGTAACTTAGAAGTTGGAGTGAGTTTTACCTCATGCTTCAGAACCTTCTGGTCCTCGAGGAAAGCGAACATCTTCATGGAGAAACGCTTGGTGTGGGATGGGACTGAGACTCTGGCATCCATCTCGACAGGGTAGATGATAGTGGTGTAGCTGTCCTCAGGGTTCTCACAGCTAGGGTTGAAGATAATGATTAGACCCAGATTTTCCTATGAAGGGGTGAAATAAAGCTACATTTACCCATCAACAATGATGTCCCAGCTGGGGACAGCAGTTTTGTCTTCTTGAAGGTTAGCCCAGCAGTTTTCCAAGATGAGCTCCAAGTGAGAATCTGTTGATTCTAGTTCCACTTCAAAGAACAGAGGCTGCCTGAGGTACTTCTCTACTGGGTAGTCTTCAGCTTTGTAGAACTGCTTGTATGAAGAATCTATGCACAAGAAACACAGCATGAATAACTCAAGATTATATAAAAACCATGTTTGCATGTAAAGTTTTATATCCACCTGTTGCCACTCTCATCTGCACGACCAGCAGGCCTGAACCGATCTCTGCTTTGGGCTCGTAGAGTCTTGGTTGTGCAGTGAAACCGATGCTCTGGGTGTCATTAACCAGGTAGTAGCAGGAGATGGTTTGCCTATAAAGAGAAAGTATTAGAGTCTGTCTGAATTGGATGAGGTGTTGCAAACACATTTTGTACCCACTTGTAGTCAGGGTCAACAGGAGAAGTGCGTGGCATTGCCTTGTCACGAGTGTAATAGAGGCCAATCTCGTTCTCATACAGCATGTAGTTGTTGAAGAACTGAGGAAAAAAAAAGTACAAGTTAAAAATCATAAAGCAGGATTTGAGTGATGGAGCAGTGGTGAACTTACTGTTCTAGTTGTGCCACAAGAGTCAGCCCTGAAGATGAACTGAGCAAAGCGGTTGTTGCTGGAGGTTGGACCGCAAGAAGGGTCCTTCAGAGTCAGCCAGCTGGGGATGAGGTTTGGCACAGAGCTGACCTTCACAGCCAAGGCAGCGATGGTTCCGTTGGGGTAGCACCCTGAAAGTTTGATGTGACTTTTACAGAAGCTGTTTAACTCACTGAAGAACCAGAAACACCATTAACTCTTACTAGTCATCATCAAGGGGAAGTAGCAAGCCAAGTAAAGGTCACCGAGCACCCAGTTGTTTTTGGCATCCCACAGCAGCACATCGAGTCTGGCTTTGATTGACTCAGTGGTAATTGACTACAAGAGAGAAAGTTAAGCGTCTGTAGCATGTTTAGTTTGGCAGATTATGGTCAAGACTCACCTCAAAGACCACATCTTCAGCAGCATATGGCACTTGGATTGAGAAGTGTGTGTTGTTCTGTTGAATCTGGTAGAGTGCAGCCAGTTCAGGGGTCAGATCACGAGTTCCAACCAGGGTACGGAATTCATTTCCTTGGTTGCCGTATGTCACTGTGATGTAAAACTTGTCCAGGTCGCAGGTGCCAGAGAGTGTGGGCAGCACTGAAGGGATATTAGAGGCCGGTTAGGTGACTGCAGTCAGTTATTGCACAGATAACTCAGTTTAGTCAGACCTACCAACATCCTTAACAGATGCCTCCAGTTGCAGTGGGTGGGAAAATGTTGCTTGCTCAGGCAGGATGGCAAATCCAAAGACTACAGAGAGGGTGTAAGTAGTCATCAAGGGCTCAGGGTTCTGGGGACGGGGGGGGGGGGGGGGGGTGTATGTTAGGTTTCATTATAGTGAACAGGTGTTTTAAGGGTATTTAAGTTTTAAACTCACATGCTTCAGGACAGCCTCAGAGTCAAAGGGAACTTGAAGGGAGAAGACAATGGAGCCATTTGAGATGAGGTGCTGGTGGATAAGGTAACCTCTGGCATTGCTCTCCTCAACCGTGAAGATGCCATTGGGAAAAGTGATGTTCCTCAGAACCACATCATGGAGGAAAGTTCCCACATAAGCAGTGAAGTACCTCTCCTGTGCAACAGTATCTGCAGAACAGTAAAGTTTTAGCATCTAATGTTAAAAGTTAAAGATTCTAGATGGATAGCTCATGGTACTTACGATCCTCAGTGAAAGGAGGGCGAGGCATTGGTGGAGTCGTAATTGGGAACAAGACCTTGTACCGGGTGTCATCTTGAGTGTTGTCGGCTCTCCACAGCATCTCAAGCATGGGCTCAATGGAGTAGGTGATGTGGTACTGGAAGTCTGGGGCATGGCTCTGCAAACAAATACCATTAATAAATGCAATCATGTCCTTTAGTAGAAGTTTTATATTGCTTTTTGTGCCAACCTTATAGTAGCCTTCAGGTGAGCCGATTGGGATATCCACAACAACATGGAAGTCGGTGGTAGACAGGGAGTATTTCCTTGCAGCCATCTGAGCCTTATCCAGCCTCAGCCCGTTGATTCCCATGAACATTTCCACAGTTTTAACTTTGCTGTCCAGAAGAGGAGTCACACGGCGAGGCAAGTGCCAGGAGATGAGGTTCTCAGTGAACAGGACACCACCTGTTATAAGAAAACACTTTAATTTGAGCTAAACTATGCATTTAAATTAGGAGGTTTGAGCAACTCACCAGTAGGGCAAGCAGCTGCCAAGTTGACAACATTGAGTCCTTGCTGGGACTTCTGGTAAACGCTCACTTTCAGGACTTCCATGGGGACTCCAGCAACCTGGAAGAGCACATGTTACATGCCATTTTCAAGACCAGGAAGGGAGGCAAGTGCATTGAAAGGGTGCTTACATCCTCAGGGTAAGTCTCTGCAGTGTTGTAGGGGCTTCGTACAACCAGGCGGGTTGGGGTAGTCATGGCGGTGTAGCCGGCTTGGTCAGCTTCTTTTGGGACCATGGATACAGGTTCAGGAGCGAAGAAGGTGAGCTTCCAGATTCCACTTTCATCATTGGACTCCTGTGGAGAGAAACTGCTAGTTATCACAACTGGCTAAACCTAGAGCAATATTTGTAAAAAAATATATATGAAGACGTACAGTAGGAAGGGCATTAGAGTCATCCTTCTCGTGACTTTTGACTTGAGATGTAGCCATAGCCATGTAAGTGGACACCTTAAAAAAAAATACATTTGTTCAGTTTTGCCATAAAACTAAATGAGTTCAAAGCAAAATGTGAAGCTACCCACTTCCATGTAGTTCCTTTCACAGAGGATCTCTTTAGGAGCCCAGCGAGTGTAGCTGCAGGTCTGGGACACATCGTGACTGAGCACATCAGAGGGACTGTGGAAGATTTTCAGTTTCAAGCCAACAGTGAAGGTCATGTCATCCTGCAAGAGAAGAAATTTAATTAACTCTGCATCTTCCCTGGTGAAGAATGATTAACATGTTCTGCAAGCTTTCTCTCACCTTGTTATCCACATAGCAGCCCAGCAGGGAGGTGTAGATTCTAGTGTTGCCCCAAGGGTCAGATTCCATGCTGTAGCCACACTGAGCAGCCTTACCAGGTGTCAGCATAATAAGGTTGGAACCATCTGAAAAGAAGCCACATTAGTTGTTTTCTAGTAGTTAAGCAAACCAATGGTCCTAGGAGCTTAAAAAAAAAAAGCCTTACTGATTGCATCAACTTCAAGTTGGTTTCCAACTGCAAGAGCCTCATCCAAAGAAAGCCTCATCAGGTTAGCAGCACAATCCATCTTTAAACCACTGCCTGCTTTAAATAAGCAGAGTTTAAGCTTGTAAGTCAACTAGTTATGATGTTTAATATATAAAATATTAATTTACACTTACTTGGCTGAGAACTGAGTTTCACATTCTGCCATGCTTGACCCAATACAAAAACTGCAGCCATCAAGTTCCAGAACAACCTAAAAAAATGCATTTAAGTTTAAAATACATGAAAAAATACACTTGTCTAAGAAACACAATCAATAACTTACATTTTCTCAGGCTTCCGCATATTGCAATCCACAAACATCCTGGCAAATGGGGGGAAACTGTCCAAGGTCCAACTGCCACCAGAGCTCAGCTTTGAACCTCACAAACTCCACAGATGAAGCAGCTCTGAAGGAGAAGGAGCTGATGTCTTTCTGCTGACACACCACCTGTTTTATACGTCTGCTGATCACCTGCACGGCACAGGGAATCCGAGGGGGATTGGTAACACCTGGTGGCTTTTTTTTTCTTTGAGAAGAACCGGCTGATTTCAATTAACACTCAAGAACAGAAGGATAATAAAGCGTTTTAATAGTTTTAATCATCATTTCATTTAATTTTACCATTTCAGACATACAAACGAGTTAAAATCAATTTAGGCTACTGTTTTTTATTTTTCATTTTGAACCTTATATATTTTTTATAATTACTGCAGGTCTGTGTCTCATTTTAATTCTCTGGTGTTTTGTTTATGGCTTGTCAGTTTATCATCACCATATCCTCCAACTCGTTTAACCTTCAGAGTTATTCCAGTTTAATACGGCCACAGCTAATCAACACAAAATAAAAGATTATAACTCTGTAAATTTGACAAACATTGAGCTAAACTTTGCTGTGGTGGTAGTTCACATCACATATTTTGAAGATGATATCTTGTCTAATCTAAAATTCAGATTTGTTTGTTGGGCAATAGGACAATGAGGGTCATATTTTCAGATGGTATGCTAGACACACTTCTTTAAATTTAATCAAGCTTAGCTCAAGCCAGTTTTTAAACTGACTTATTCATAGTTTTTTTTTATTGTTGCATAAAAGACAAAAACTTCACATGAACACAATACTTGTTTTGGCTAAGTCTGGGCTATCCAGAGCTAGAATTTATCCTCATGAGGGATGAATTCTGTAAAAAAAATATATGTTTCATTTAGCTAAAAAGAAAGTTCCACATCAGAGATCCAAACTTTTTACAATAATCAGAAACTAACCCCTTTAAAAAGACTGTTTCTATGCAATTATTGTATTTTTATTTTGTGTTACTTCAATATTACTGCACTCAAAGAAATAAATTAAACCCCAAAATAAAAACGAACCTAAAGGCAGAAAAATCTAAACATATTGCACAAACAGACTATTGATCTTTACATGGTTCTGCACTCTTTAAAAAACATTTTATTTTTTATTCAAAACATTCTCCGTTATGATCATACTGCAGATGAACAAGGGAAAAGCTGTTTGCTCAAATCTCCCATGTTTTTGTGTTGATCGTTGAACACTAGATGAACCGGGTGACGTGATGTGCAGTATTTAGATTCAGTATCCTCTAATAATCTTCTCCTGCTGGTCCAGCAGTGTCTGCCGCAGGCTCACTTGTGCATCTTCAAAATCTGGACTGAGTTTAAGGGCTTGTTGAAAATCACTCTTGGCGTCATCAAAAAAGCCTGTAAGGTAACAGCAACACAGTAAAAACACAATCAGATCAAAGGATGACGTTTTTGTGGTTCACATAAGCAAAAACGCTGTACAACATTTGATTGCAAGAACAGAGCTCCACCTAGTGTTTTTCAAAAGTATGCACGAAAGAGAATACAACAACCAAGTAATGAAAAATCAGTCTGCCAAATAGGATAGATCTGCATATTCTTTTATTTATTATGTAATTAATAAATTATTTAATGTGTCCTTTTTAAATATGCCCATGGTTAGATTCTCGACCATGAGACACTCCTTTATTGAGCTTTGTTAAAAAGAGATAATAAAAAAAAATTTGGGAGAGCCAATCAAGACTTTTATTTTGAAAGGACAGAGCGGAAGTAGCCTAGCTTAAGAGGAAATAACCATGTTTTATTCATTTTTTTCTTACCTAATCTATAATGGATGAGTCCTCTATTGTAGAACGAAACTGCAAAGTGGTTGTCAGCTTCTATTGCGGACGTGTAGTCCTCTATAGCTTCGCAAAAATCCACCCGGAAGTACTTGATCTGTCCACGGTTGTTAAAGGCTGTTGCCAAACTGACCGCTTCACAATTCCTGCAACGCATACAACACAGTTAAGAATTTTATTTTCTCTCACAATAAATACTTAGCAGGGAAACATTAAATAATTTGCTAGCTGTGTTAAAGTCCCAAGGTTTGACTGGTAACAAAATGTTTTTGTTAGCTTATTAGCTAACCGGTAATTGTTCGATAAATAAACAATACCTGGACTGTAAACAGGAAGTTATAAACTTTGTGTAAAGCTTTTCCGCTTCCTCATAATTGCGCTTGTTAAACTCAGAGTAGGCATCTTCTAGTATTTGAGATTTTTCGTCCGCCATAAAGGCTTGTTTTGTTTTTGACAGCGGATGTGACGTCACATGAAGACCAGCACTTTTAAAAGAAGGCGTGGTTTACCAGTTATAAGACCGTGGCAAAAAATTCAACAAGTTTAAGGTTTTAAATGCTTTTCTCCTTAATATTATAAATTTTTAAATCATCTATTTATCTTCTTAAAACTTTCAGAAGCATGTGTTAGTTTCTTTTATTGGTTTTAGTCACATTTTTCTATAAGGGCAACTTGGTGTAAGTTTTTGTCTGATGTCACTGAAAACAACAAATATTTTATTTTTTGGGGCATTTTTAGTTCTTTGCATTTTCACCCATTATCGTCCAGTTCTTGTCATGATCGGGAGTTGTGTCCAAGATTCACCAAAATAAATAAAACACAACATATTTTTATGCCAACAAAGTGCCCAAATATGAAATGAGCTGTGATTTACTTTGTGACGTTTCTAAATTGCCTGGGATTCACATTTAGACCAGTAAAATGATGGATTAATCAAATATTATTCACTAAAACCACTTGAAAATAAAGTTAAAATGCCATGTGGTGAAGTAATTTTGGTATCTTGATGTTTAAGTATTTAAAATTTATTTTTTGTGGCAGCAGGTGAACCTGAGTCAAATTTTTATCAAAACTAAATCATGTAAAATGAGAAAACACCGAATTATACTGAGAATGCGCCCATTTTAATGTTAATACATAAATCGTTTTCAATGTTTGTTTCAAATTGGATGGAATAAACTCTCTGTTGAACAGAAATAACCATTATAAATAACAGGCATCCTGCACCTGAATGTACAATAGAATGGCACCATATAAACAATCCAAGGAGAGGCTTTAGGTCATTTCACGTGCAGACAGCAGTCATGCTGGTGAAAAATGACAAAAAGGTCATTCAGCAGCTGTCAGCTTCGTTTCACTGCCTCGTTTCTCCTCAGATCAAACGGAGCGTTCAGACTGAGGGAAAGGTCACAAACCAGCTGTGTGTTGTATATCTTATTACATTTATTACACCGTTACCCGTCAGTGCAAATACTGTGTTCTAAGTATCTTAAACTATATGAAATAAATGAACCAGCATGTGCAGGGTTCAGCGGGGTTGTTCCGTTCAGCAGCTTCAGAGCCTAAATGTTGCTGTTTGCTGACAGAATTAACACAAAGTGTCCAAGTCCACCGTAGACGGCTCAGGACAGACCTCCGTTCGTCCTGCGTGGGGGGAGATATTCCTCACAGACGTCTCAGAGCGTTCAGATGTCTCCCTGCATCAAAAAATTGTTTCCATTTGACAAGAAACTGTCAGCTGGGGACCATCTTGGTGCAGGTTTTACACTTTAATGCGATTTAAACTTGTGACCCGTATGTTAGTACTGTACTGTATATATGTACATGTAATGTGTATATAATTATTTTTAAAACAAATTCTTAAACTCTCAGCTCCCAGTTTGGGTTTGAGACTCAGCCACTTTCTCTATTTCTAAAATAAAGTTTAAAATCTTCATTTTCATAAGCCTAAAATCTGTCGAATATTTGTCCAATAATTCAGGAATATTTTCTCACCCTGTTATCAATTCCTAATCTGCTCATATTGCCCACTTTCAAAGGCAACAGGCAATATGTTAACAACACAACTCATGCAGAATGTTTAATAAAAATGACAGAATAATATTGTTGAGTCTTCATCTACTCCTGACATTTGGAATCAACCTGTTTCAAAATGGCTCCCACAGCCGACTTTAAAAAAGACAAAAACGACTTTAAGTTTGTCCATGTTATAGATACTGAGCTCAAATTTGGTGCAGTGGTAGCTGAGTCATTCTTAACATATTTTAAGCCACACATGTCAAATCTAAGGCCCACGGGCCAATTGTGGGCCACGAGAGCTTCAAAGATGTCTTTAAAATATCTTAAAATAAGCTGCCTTAAAGCCAGCATTGACAAACTACAACTCCCATGATGCACGTTGATTATATTACCTGTAAAAACGAAGGCATCCCACCACAAGGTGGAGGTGCACAGGGTTCAAAAGGAGCTGGCAAAATTTGCCGTGTAAAATCTACATTTCACTGCATTTTCACCAGCTACTTTTGCTGCGGTGCAGTTGCACTGGGAAGTGGGAATTTCCCACTTACAAGTCGTAAATGGTGGGAGATTTCACAATGCAAGACGGCAGCTGCTCACCACAACTCAACAGTGAGCAAAACTCTTACTTTTAATAGTATTTCTGTAGTATTTATTTCACATTTAGTCAGTCAGTGTTTATAAGAGGACGTGTTAAAACACTGTTTCTACGCAGGAAATACCAGGTAGAGCTCAGGGCTCAGTTAGTGTTTTGTTAGCAGTGCTCGTTGCAGTAATGAGACGAGGTTAGAGGGTTTCATCTTGTGATGTTGCATCAGTCCGGGCAGAATGCTGTTTTCAAAACTTCACCTTCATCCTTTTGTTCAGGGTAAAGTCGTGTGTTTTGCACAGCTGAGGACTGCAGACGTTTCTTTCTGAAGGCTTGATTTTTTTGAGCTGATTTCTGTCTGAACAAATCCTGATAAATGTGTCGATAAACATCTGCTCAGTTGCTGTTTAAACCTCTTGAACAGGGAAGCTTTGTCTCTCGTTCCGTGTCTCTCAGAGGTGTGTGAGTCCCATTCATCTTTTCCACTGAGACGTGTGTGTGTGTGTGTGTGTGTGTGTGTGTGTGTGTGTGTGTGTGTGTGTGTGTG